GGACTTCGATGCACGTGCCTTGCGCTAAATCTGTATTACGTCACACGGAAGTCGAGCGAACTGGTCGATAGGACTCGCATACGTAGGCGCGGGTAATGCTCGCATGTGATGTGTCACGACATATCCCATTATATCCGAGATGGCGATGAAGATGGAGAAGAGGGAAGAAATTGACGATCCTCTTAGTCGCTTATTATTTCCGTGTCGAGTCAACCTCCCAAATAACTCTGGCTGATTGGTTACGTTTTGCAAGTGGCTCAATTGAAGCGATGCCAAGCCAAGCACGACCGACGCCTCTTAAAGCATGAAACCACGCGACTAATGAAAAATAAAGAATTTTTCCAAACGTTTTGATATTCGATGAGCGTTCGAATCACAATCGAATGGATTGATAACGACTTATGGATTTGTAGCGACGTTAGCCGAAAATTATGCACCACCGCAACTATACCTGTGCAACTAACTATGTACAGCAACTATATCGACAACTATACTCGTTATCTTGATAACGATATGTTTCTCGTCTTATCATTGGCAATTGTTACTATTGTACACACACGGATAAGTATGAGTTATAAACTTACTTGCTTATTTCTTGTATTTTTTTTATATAACTTTTCTATAATCACATTAATTCACATTAATCGAGACTTTTTCACAATGTGATAAATATTTTTAAAAAGCATATGACTCTATTCGATGATTTAGACAATAAAATATTTAACTAACTATAATATAATGCCTCCTTGTATTAATGTGAATAATAAAAAAAAAATTACATTTCTGTTAATATGAGTTTGTAATGAATATGTACAGTGATATAATAAAATGTCTTTATATCTTATTTTATTATTATAATACAATAATTGTACGATATGCCATGAATATATAAAAACAACTTTAATTAATAATTATAGATAAACGGTACGTAAGAGTAATTAAGGATCATCATACACTTATTTTACGTCGTCCAATATGTTTTTAATAAATATTTGTATTTTATATTCTATTATAATATTTTTATATTGTATAATAAGTTTTTCTACATTTTTAAATACATTTAAAAATAATTCAGTCAAATATATAAATATATATGTATGTATGATTTATTGTGCAAAGTATATTGAAAAATATTTTAATACGTTATAGTATGTTATGAAGTATACAAAGAGAATATTAAAATTAACGAACATAGCTAATGATTATTTACACAAATACAACGGATTTTAATATAATAAATTGAATAATATTAAATTTTTATATAAAAAATAGTCTAAGTTAAGCTATTTTAGAGCTTTTTGTGTAATTGTTTCTATAAAACTTGAGGAATAAAGCTAAGTTTAGAATAATATCGCCAACAACTATGGTAGCTGCTTTTTTCGATACTGAACACGACGGAAACAGAGCTTGCGATTGATGCACTAGCAGAATTAAAAATTGTATCTAAAAATAATATTAAATATTAGCTCAAAATTATTATATATAAGATTTTCGTGCAATTGAATTAGTTCGATAGCTTATTTTGCCGAGCACGAAGAATATCATTTTCATAATAAACAATATTATTGATAAAAGTCTAATTCGATTTCAATTGGTTAATATTACAATGTCCAATGGTCCCAAATTTGTAACTGTAATAATGAATGTCAATATAAGTCAACTTACTATCTGTATACGAGTTACGTAAGGCTTAACTATATTTGTCAAATTTTCCATGGTCGATCCAAGACTTGCAAAAAGATAGTATGTGTACATGGCCACGTGCACTGAACCGTTAATGATCATTAACATTAAAAACATTCCTCCAGGATGATATTTGACGATATAGTATGTTATTAAAACCGTGCTAATATGGTGATAGACATGAAGAAAAGAAACCTGCTTCATTTTTTTCCTTAATACAAATATTAACGTCTCTAGTAAATCGAAGGTTTTCAATAATAGAATCCATATAACGATATCAGTAACCTGAAATGTTACAACATGTTGAACAGTGCAATTTACAGTATAAATATGATAAAAATTGTATAAAAATATTTCAAGAATGCCCACACGCACACACGCGCATGTATATATATATATATATATATATATATATTTATATTTATATATTTAACTAAATCGATCGTTTAATTTTGAAAAGGGTTGGCGATTACGGTTTCATTGATTAAATAATATATAATATATAATATATATAATATATAATAATAATAATACAAAAGTATAGCAGGCAGTTTTTACAAATTTACAAATCGTACGAACATCATATAAGAATGAAAATATTTAAGAAAATATTTACAATAAAGTAAAATGTAATCCAAAATGTGCGTAACATCGATCGATAAAATTTTGCACGAATTTTCCGTTTTTTATAAATTGAAAATATTGATATTGTACTATTCCATGATGATGTAAGTGAACGAGTGTAAAGACCGATTGAATATTGTTTGTATATTTCACGCAGATAAAAAAAAATAGATTTGCGCTACCTACAATTTTATTATGATAAGATACGGAACATTCAAACACTTTACTACACAATTACAACTATATTTCTTTCAAATAAATTTCTTTTAATTTAAAATGATTTAAATGAAATTCCTTGTGCAGGTATTTTTATTGGTAATCTAGTAATTTTGTAAATACGTATCTGCGATATATGAGAAAACGAAATTGTTTTTGCCAATACCAACAAGCAATAAAATTAAAAATAAATCTTTACATCACAGGCAATTTTTTTTTTTTTAAAAAATTTTTTTTTTTTTTTTTTTTTTTTTTTTATACTTATTCATATAATAATGTCTTGCTTAAATATTACGCGATAAAATATAAAAAATGAATAATTCGTATTCGAGTACAAGGATTTTTCTGTAATTTTAATGCTTTTAAAAGGTTCGTTACTAAGATGAAAACGTACGTGGTTAAACTGGAAAACAATAACTTTACTTACATGCTTATCAATATTTTGCCGTACAGGTTCACATCCTAAACTGTAATCAGTCGTCCATATTACGTAAATTTCATAAACAATTATCGCATTTATCACGATTTGAAAAAGATTGTAGAAAAAAATAGCTGTTTTTAACGAATACGGCTTTCGTTTTTCCATATATTTTGGTCCGCATAGTAGTACAAAGTATATATATCCAAATACTACTGATAACAGATACAATGGATTTTCGATGAAAAACCAGCTGTTCGTTCGTGGATCTGATATGTGAAAAGAAGAAAACAAAGAGCAAATATTTGCAATTATTACAAAATGCCTATCATTTTTTATTTTGAAGCTCGCACATTAATAAAGATACTTTGCAATTTTTTACTCAGCAAAGCACACACACACACACACACACACACACACACACACACACACACACTTATGTAAAATTTTTTTTTTCACGTACGAACTCATACTAATCTTAAATAAAAATAATAAAAATTTACAATCAAAATAATAAATAAAAATCTGCATTACGCCACCTTTAATTCCATAAATGGTTCACTTTAATTCAATCAGCTGGGCCCTGCACTTAAACACTTAAATCGACGCCGACGATTATATACTCATAACCATGACACTTATAAAGCAAAAATACAGGCTTACGTAATCGTTCACTCTTTGACCGTTTGATCAAGAAGAAGCGATAAAGAGAAAAAAATGATGTACGGCGAGAGTGCGAGTGAGAGAGAGAGAGAGAGAGAGAGAGAGATGAATTACCTGCTTGTTCCACATTATAGTAGTGATATAATTCCGACAACCAGTGCATTACAAGTGATGTATCCTGAAAACCAACGCACAAGTTTACGAAAAATAGGATAATTAACGAGCCACGCTTGAAGCTTCAGCAGCGATGGACAAACATCTACAAGCTAATTTCTCCGAACGTAAAGAGACTCTTGTATTTATAGGATACAGTTTGTCCACAAACGCCAGTGTTCTTAAACGTAGTAAGGAGGAGTGGACGGCCAGGTAGGGATATAATAAATTCACGCTACCGTCGCTCGAGTCGCTAAGCACTTACTTTCTTATTACGAATGCTGCTCGCTTTTCTCACGTCACATGGTTTTTAAACGTTTTCCATGTTATTTAGCTATTTTTAATCATAACTGCAGCGATCGTATTCAATGTGTATTATATTTGCATTGTATAGCAATAAAAATGGCATTAGAGCTTGTCATCCATTTTCTCACGGATTTAATTAAAATTTTGCTTCTTAGAATATCAAACAGATTATTACAAAATAAAACAAAAAAAAAAAAAAAATACATTGAAGTGCAACGAACATATTTTTGCCTATTTTTATGTGCTATATATTGTTCGTGTTTAGTTTGTAAGTCCTGCTCAGCGATATATATATATATATATATATATATATATATATATATTGGAGTTAATGGTAAATACATTCTAATTTAGAATATCTAATTGAAGATAGTGGATTTTGATTGTAGAGTAAAAATACTTTTTGTTTATTTTCAGTTATTTAGCTATTTAATAAGTTAGATGGAAGCTTCTCTTATATTATAGACATTTCTTAATTAGGTAAAGCGAATTTAATCAGCTTTTAATGAAATCATCGATGAAACACTAATTGTACAGATTCTAATAACAATCGGCAAACATTCTTTTGGCCTCTCATTGTGGTTTGTAGTCATAAAAAAGAAAAAAAATATACGCGTTTCAAATACATTCTATCATATTTTATTCGTAGCTTTCAAGTATGTAAAATTCAAGCTTTCATGGTAAATTTGAATTGAATTTATAAATAGTATATATTTTATTTAATATTATTACAGGCATATAGTAACAATGATGTAAGAAAGGCCGATAATATTTCTTCAATAAGCTTATCATTCTATTTCGAAATTGCTAATAAGTATTTAATAAAAATGTATGTGAACGATATACATTTCAATATTAAATAAAATGAGCTTCGATTAACTATTGTATAATTTCACTTATAATTGAGAAAATGAGTTCATTTTAGCAATGATTTTTTTTTTCTATTTTCAATGACGAAGAAAACTTTATAAGTTACTTAGGAAAGTTTTAATTAAACTGATGTTTCGAGTTTAAACGTATACAAACTTTAAAACATTTCAACTATTTATGAGCTATAACACAAGGAAAAATGATTACAGTTTTCAATATATTAACATAAATATGCACTTAACTTAGATCATCGACTTGTTAACTTTTATATCGATGAATACGATAATAATTATACGGACTAAAAGACGTAAGTTTTATCGTTTCAAGCGACTTATATCCATGAATAATAACATTAATTTATTCATTATATAATATTTATTAAATAAATGAATTATCTTGATATGTTAACAAAAGTTAGTATAAATGTAATTGAATTGTAAATAAATATGAGTAAAATTTGTAAGAAAATCTTTAAATGTGGAATATTTAAAAAAAAAATTTTTTTTTTAATAAACATATAAAATATAAAATCAATTAAGTTTTCATAAAAGGGAATAACATACGTCATATATGAAACAAAACATTGAAAGTACTGAGAGTAAAAACGAAATAATTTATACGTAAGCAATGAAAAAAACAAGGAATAAAAAATTACCATCTAAATATGAAAGTATTTTTTTAAACTTTCAATTAGTCTTTAAGAAATGCTTTCTTAAACATTTTCACTAAAATTTATTTCTCTTTTGAATTAATATTTCTCGCTAATTTAATATAGATCCACACATTTTAAACACTTAAACAATATATTATTAAAGATTGGAACTTTTGTGCTTTAGTAAAATATCATTATTAACATAAAAATAAATATTTATATTTCATAACGATTGTTTTCAACACTGATACTATCCAAGCATCCTTGTTTCATAACGATATTATCGACGTATCAATCAAACAAATAAACATATATTGCTTATTATAAATATTATAGTTATTTATTGTCTATTCATGCTCTTATAGTTGTAGTATTATTTTTAATTCGTTTTATATAAGTCAGATATTCATATAGTGTTGAGGTATAATTATAACAACCATAACTGCAACGACAATGGCAACGACCACGACGACGACGTCACAACAATTATTATGAAATAATTATTATTATTGAGATTTTATACGCGTATAAGCGTATATTATTTAATCGAAATTAATTTTGGTAAGCCAAGGCTTATCTTAGAAAATATAGTAGTAATATCAGCTTTAACGCGCTAAATTTCAATCTATTTTGTGTAATAATCAATCGCCTTGGCTAAGTCATTCCCCAGCTTGTACAACAACTGCTTCAAGCATGATGTTCCACTATTTTGCAAACCGCGATAAATATATTTCCACAAAATGCTTCTATTTTAAAATCCCATTCAATTCCAATCGACCGCAATATTGCACAATCATATCGGGTAAATAAAGTAAACAAGTTGCCGTGACCAACCACCGCGTGATATCAAACTGGAAATCGTCGTACATCCAGATAACCTAATTCGGCTATTCGCGCACATAATGGTATCCTCGTCCGGGTCCGACAGCCATAAGAAATTCGCGCATACCTGCACGGACAAAGTGTAAACCAACCCTAACTACAAGTGGAATTCGCCTGCACACGTAGGACTGCATCACAGCTCCAGCTAGTAGTAAGTCCGCGGATGTTGGGTTTAGGATTCAGGCGAGTGGGTGACGCGTGGAAAGTGACGAGGGCGGAGATGGTAGGTTGGTAGGGGGAGGGGTATAGGGAGGAGGGGGAGGGGAGCTCCTTTGAAACTGCTGCAATCACTTTCGTGGGGCGGGTGAGGATGGGCAAGGGATTAATGTACATATAACAAGGGACATATGGCGCGGACGAGCGCAGCGACGAAGTGCGTAATCCTCAAGGGTAATTGAATTTCGCGATATGTCGATCTACGGGTGCACACTGACGAGCATTTGCGCTGGGCACGCGCGAGCTCGCTCCGTCCAGGATCTGGAGGATCAAGCGAGGATGCAGCCAAAACGTCCCTGTCGCCGGCTGCTCGATAATACCCGGGTATGCGCCCCGGTAGTATCCGGTGCTCGAGCTCGTCGGCCATTAGCCATTGCCGATCTAATCGGCCGATCGTGCGGCGGCTCGGACCACATCAAAGCCAAAGCCGCAGTTCCATCTGGGCGTGGGGGTGGGGGGTGGTGGTGGTGGTGGTGGTGTTCGTCCCCTTGGCCCAGAGTCACAAGCGAAATCGGCCGATCGTGTTCGCGGACGCGGGGACGACGGCTCGGCTTACGATAAGTCGGCCTTGACGCGCCAAAGGCCAGGCGAATTTCGTTCGTTTAACGATGACCGCTGATTGACGTCTGAGTAATTTGTTAGAGGCTCTGCGAATTTGTCGAAGTTGTCCCGTAATTGAACTTCGCCCAAATTTGCCTTCGCTGCATCCTTTAATTACGCGAGAGTGCGTTTAACAGGCATTTTATCCTAAGACCATCGCTTTTCTGCGCAATTTCGCTTTGTTTTTGGCGGATTGGCCAACTCCGATTAGGCGGATCGTCAAGCAACTTAATGAGATTGCACGCACGTGATTGTTTGTTTCCTTTGATAAGCGACGCTAGAACTTTGATCGTCGTAATGATTTTATAGATTATTGAAAATTGAAATATATTGACTAGGATATTGTTAACAAACTCCATGGTTTCTTTCACGTTGTCATTCGACAATTTTGATGAGTTTGTGTAAAGCGACAATTTTAATTATTCGCGCTTACGAACAATTGATTGCATAATAGGCACTATTTTAATGCATAGTTTAATTACAATATTCCCCATCGATAATTGACCTTATGAAGCTTGTGAAAAAAAAGAAATTATTAATTGAATTAACGATCAATGATTTAATGACTTATTGAAGTAGAACTAAGTATCGATAATCATTTATTGGAAATACTTTGGATGCGGTTATGGCTTGTTGTATGTACACGTTATATGATGTAATGTGAAATTAAAATAAACATCTCCAATAAGGAAATAAAATTACAGGTAATGCCATGAAATTTAATCTTCCCTTTAGATTTTTAGAATAGATTATCGTATTACCATTGCTAACATCGCCGTTACAGTGACAGCAAGATCAATATTAATGAAGATAAATAAAGTGAATCATTGATTATGTAGCAGAGAAATATAGTTTATGGGGCGTAAAATTTGAAGTTGCACATATTCTTGGTGACTCCAGGGTCAGTCTCTTATAGCCACTTGGTAGCGTCTCCTCGGGCAGCAAATAAAGTCTACGGGTTGCGGATACGAAGGGTAACTGCGAATATAAAAATAAGTAGTGGCGATCAATGTATGGAAACTAGGCGTAGATGTAACGCACGTCACACCGACTGGCAAACCGAATTTAAGTCGGGAAATCAACATAAGTCTGACCATGGATTCCTCTAGGGTAAAATATTCCGGACGTAAAGTAGTCTGCTGTTCGAATAGCCGCGAGGGGACTAGTCGGCAGGAATCGTGAGCGACGGGAAATAAAGTAAAATAGAAATAAAAGTGACCGGCCGTCCACGTGGAATATGCCTAGTCGCTTCTGAGTAGATACGCTTAGAGAAATTATAAGTGAAATGGATAGGTAAGGTATTCACGTCGCAGTTGTTCTTGAATGAAGATGATGATCGCGTGAGGCACAGTTTATCTCGCTGTAAATATTTTCCCTTTAATGGCTGGAGGAACAGACGCAGGAATGGATTTTTTTTTAAAATCAAATGCAAAAACAGTATTTATTACTTTTATTACAGTATTTATTACAGTATTTATTACTAATAAAGGAAATTGAGCTTCGTAGGGATATGCTAGTGCTTACAATTTTTTACCTGCATCAGTTGCATAAACGCGTATTTATATGCGTTTCTCGCGT